TCTTGTATTATCCAGCATCATTCTCCTGGCCCCTGCCTGAGTCACATGTGCAGTACAAAAAATACTATTGTGTACCAGTGCTGAGGCCACATACAGGTATGTGTGTAAATAACTCCTTTATCAATATATGACTGACTGCAGCTCTAATAAAGTGTTGTACCTTTAACATAACTGTGAAAATTTAGGCGCTGACTGGTCTGTGCAATTATATGTCAGTCCCACATATATGAATGTGAACCGTAGATCAATACATATCCTTAAAATAAACTAGAGACAATTATATATACTGTATATGCAAATATATTAGCAAATACACAAATAAATACATTTTTTTAATTAGTCCATATCTCTGTGTCTCTTCAATCATTCAAAGTGTGACAAACAACCATACAGCTTTAATACAGTGCCCAGTGCTACTTCTTCAAGCAATGGTGCAAACAAGGTGCTCCCCTCAACTGCTCCCAGTCAGTCACCAGATAACATGGACTCTTAGGTTAAATAAGAGTCATTTGCGCTGTATAATGATACTGGTTAATCTGGACTTGTGGTCCTCCTTGGTGTCTATATCCTATTATCCACAGCAGTATACTATATCGATGATTTATCTCATGATGTATGTATGTAAGAGATGATAAGGAGATCCATGTAGTGTAATTCGACTTTATTGTAAAATCTAATAAAATAAGCAGTTGCACTCACATGTATATATGGAAAAATAAGCAGAACGCCAAACTGGAAGTCTTACATCGATGTGCGTCTCACTGGCCGGAAATGACATCACCAACAGCTAACACTGACGCGTTTTGCCCCTCTCCAGGGCATTTTCAAAGGTAGAGATGAGAGAACACTGAACTGAGTAAAAGCACTACATTTTACACATACCTTAGATTAGCACATTTACCCTTTGATCGTCCTTTTTAATCCTTTGATCACCCCGTCACCCAGCCAGTGCCATTAGTACAGTGTCAGTATATAGGATTTTTCACTGATCGCTGTATTACTGCCACTTGAGACATCAGATAACATCTGGGTCTGTAAGTTCCCCTCCCAGCCAGGGTCAGCTACCGTTAGATCTCCCGCACACTATCACACTCACGCTATAGGTCGCTGATCACCGTCATTACTAGTATAATGTTTGTAATGATCAATATATTGATCATGAACGGAACTATGCTAGTGCCTCCTTACTATAGTGTCCCCAAAAACGCGTGTTAACAGGATCAGCTCGCTGCCAACACTAGCATTTAGCCCCTCTGCTGTTTTCACATAAGATTTGTGCTAATTGATTGTGTATCAAAGCAATTTTTACACACAACAATACATGGCTGCCCACTCAAACTCAGCTCTTGCCAGACAATTTGTATGGAAACTTATCACGGTTTCTGAATTTAAAACTTTTACGGGCCTAACCCTCAACATGAGCATTACAAAAAAGAATAAATTGCGGTCATATTGGTCTATAGACCTGATTCATCATATGCCCTTGTTCTCTGCTGTTACATATATATGCCCAACAAGAACCAGCAACATAGGTATGTCACTGGACTTTGAGTGGTTATACTGGGATGATGCCTGCAGCTACAGGCATCATTCTGGCATTGATTTTTTCAGCTGGGGTGCCCCCCCAAAAAAAAAAAAACCATACAGCTCGGCAGGTCAGGAAATGAGGGGAGATGAGCTAGCTCCCCCCTCCTGAACCATACCAGGCCACATGCCCTCAACATGGGGAGGGTGCTTCTGGGCAGGGGGGATAACCCCCAAAAGCACCCTATCCTCATGTTGTTGGGGACAAGGGCCGCTTCCCCACATTCATGGCCGGTGGTTGTTGTGGGGGTCTGCAGATGAAGGGCTTATCGGAATCTGGAAGCCCCCTTTAACAAGGGTGACCCCAGATCCCCCCCCCCCCATGTGAATGAGTATGGGGTACATGGTACCACTACCCATTCACAAAAAAAAAAGTGTGTGGAAAAATGACAGGAGACAGTCTTTGACAAGTCCTTTAGTAAAAACAAAAATTAAAAAAATGTCCCTCAAAGTAGATCCAAAGTCAATCACGATAGCCGACACCACCCCCAACCTGAAAAAATAAAAATAAAATGCTCCGCTCTCGACACTGGCTCACACCGTCTGACAGGATGAAAGTTTTAAATAGTGTGATGATGTCACAAGGAGGCAGGAGTGATATCATCATGCGCTGTGATTGGCCAAAGCATTGCACCTGACCTATGGTCATCTTCATTGCTTTGTCCAATCACAATGCAAAGTCAGGCACAATGCATTGTGGGGAGCTGCAGGCGAGTAGCCTGCCAAACGCCCTTGCTGTTCGCGTTTTCCCCGACCCCATGAATGGCCAATGTTCGAGTCGAACTAACGTTCAACTCAAACATACAGCTCATCAATAATTTCTAAACTGTTATGTTGGTTTGGAATGGACACAGCCTTTAAAATGATGGTGCATGTGCAGTTTTTGGTTGTGTTCACATATGTCTGATGCACCTTTGATCCTGTTGAAGATTCTCGCATTGTGGCATTCTACAAAATTACAACATTGTAGCAAGTCTACTTTGAGAGAGTGCACTAAGAAAATTCTTCCTCCTACATGCAGAAAGCTAATGATATCATGGCTGCTTTAATAATAGTGTTGAAAATCTTCATACAACACATTTTTATACAATTGGATAGTTGAAATAAAAATTCACTCAGTTTATTGAGTGAGGACTCTTAACTCCTTCCTGTCCCTAAACAGCCATCAACTTGATAAGTAAACTAATATAATAGTAGTGCAGCATTTGCTAATTTTTTGATGATGCCAGAGATTGATTTCATGCTTCATACATCTCAAAAGTGTACTTGTACAAGCTAAAATAATGAGGTCATAAGTGCCCTATTCAAGTGTATAGGTTCAGTAGAGTGTAGGTCAAGAATACAGGGCAAGTCAAGATAAGAATGCAGATATGATCACTCTTTCAATAACCCTGAAATAAAAAGCATTCTTACATAACACGATAAAATGTTTCAACACAAGCTCTACAGTATACACCTGTGAAAAACCTTTCATTTTAGGAATTCTGTGGGGAGTAAATTATGTAGTGTGGGAACTTTTAACCTGAATTAAAATATACCTTTCAGAGTCACAGCTCTTGGCATTAGGACGTCCTTTGTATATTTTTTTTCAAAAAATTAACCCTTAAATCAAGTTATTTTGCCATACATTTATATCTGCATTACAGATAAGTACATTTCTCTGTGTTTAGCTCCTGAACAATTTCTCAAATTTTAAAGAAAGTTATGTTCAGGCAAACAGCATGGCAAGCCAGACACAGACAGAAAGGACAAACACCATGACCAACATTTAAATAAATAAATAAATACATAATTTTAAAAAAGTATCTCTTCCTAAGCAGACGACCTCCTAATAGCTCCAATACACACTGACAATATGGCTGCCATGAGTCCATCCTTTTAATGAAAAGTTGCTGAGCTATCTATTCCTTCAAATTATTGACTGTCGTGACTCAGGCTATGTGATGTAATATAGGTTTGCAATTATTTCTGATGAAAAACGTAAAAACTTTTGAGCCAACACATTGTGATGTGCTAACTTCACAAGCCTTTCAAATCCTGAAGATTTTCCACATACTCATGGTAATGGCAAACCCATTCAATTTTAAGGTGAAAACATATTTTGAGCTATTTTGGTAAAGTTTATTTAACCACTTACTGCCCAGAGACCATATGTACTGTATATGGTCTCGGCAGCAAATGGCTATACCAGGATCATGGCTGCAGCTTCAGCTGGTGATCGGCTTTCTAGTAAAAGTGATCCAAGTGGCTTTACAACCACCTGCTCACTTTTACAGAAGGGGGCCCCCTTCCCGCAGGTATTCCCTCGCTCTCTGTGATGAATGAACCCAGAAGCGATGAGGATTTTGTAATTTCACATTTTTAGAGCTGCGGTTCCCTGGCCAGTACAGCCAGGAAAGCATATGATCAAACCGATCTTTGCTTGATCAGATACTTTGAAGGGCAGGAGGGACACCTAATAATTGTCTAATAGACCCCTGATGTCTCAATAAAGAGTAGTTGTCACTGCTCAAAGCTATCACAAAGGGCTTGTTCAACCCTTGTTATAGAAGTAAAGTTAAATGAAAAAAAGTCTAAAAAAGTGTAATAATGAATAAATAAATAGATAAAAATAATAAAAAAAAAAATGTAAAGCACCCCTCTTTCCTTGTTCGCATGCAAATACAAATGCGCACATAGGTCCAGAATGCATGTATAAATGGTGATTGCACCACACATGTAAGGTAGCTCTGAATACATTGGAGTGAGAGTATTGATTCCAGTGCTGTAGCTCATTTTTAACTCTAAACTGATAACCTGTAAAGGCTTTTAAAATGTTGCCTATCGAAAATTTTAGGTACAGCGGATTTGTCACCATTTACCAGTGATGTACACATGCTATTTTAACCTCCCTGGCGGTATGATTATTTCAGATTTTTGGTGCTGAAAGCGGTACCATTATTTTGCATGGAAATTTGGCGTTTTATATTGTAGGCCTGTAATTCTTAGGAATAACTCACTGAAATCTGTCCGAACAAGAGTCTATTAAACATCCCGGATATGATAAAACCTGAAACACGAAATCATAAATTATAATTTAATAAATAATCATAAAAAATAATAATATAATAATACTAAATTTAATTCAATAATATAATCAAACCAAAAACACTGGAATTTGAAATATTGCGGCAAGTTCGCACATCACTGAGCAAAATTTCAAAATCGTTTTCAGTGTCTGATAACGAATTTCCCCACGAATCATTATCACTCAATTCTGAAAGTGGTTCTAATTTACTATCGCTGTTCTCTAGCTGGTCTAAAACCGCTTTTGACCTAAAGACACGCTTTTTGGACGCCATGGACGTTTCTCAGTTTCCAGGTAGAAAGAACAGTAAAAATGAAGGCAGGGCACAGGACAAAGCACTAGGGACAAAATGTATGTGAAATAGTTTGGTACAGTAATGTTTTACTATGTGATTTTAGGGATTTTTGTGAATGTCACTTTTTGTCATTTTCAAATTTCCCTCCGTTCCATCCCCCGTACGTCCCGACGCTCGCAGAGCACGGAACCCAGATGACAGATGCCGGATTACATTGCCGGGGACACTGCAGGAGGGACATTGCGGGAGCGCAGGACAAGGTAAGTGACCGAGGGATCGCGGAGTAGCGCCACATGGTAAGCTCGAGTGTAGCTCGGGGTTACCTCTTGTGGTACTGAAACTTTACCCTGAGCTACACTCGGGAATACCTCCAGGGAGGCTACATCTTAACATGTTTAGTATCTATTTACTCCATACAACATCATATTTTATATTTGTCTAAAATATTGGGTATTGTATTGTGTTTGTATGCACTAAAATTCATTGAAGTGTATTTTTATCCTGAAAATTTCAGTTTGACATATGGCTGTGCAAAAATTGTGTGACATTAAAATTGTAACAGCCACCATGTTATTATCCCGGGCCTCTGCTTTCAGAAAATATATAATATAATGTTTTAGGATTCTAAATTTGTTTTTAGAAAATACTGTTTTAACAACTGTTAGCACAATTCACTAAGCGGTATCTTACCGCATCAGAGTATCAGAGTATCATAGCATTTTAAAAAAAAAAAAACATTTGAATTTACAAAAACACACTAATAAAATACTGCATGAGTTATTTTATCAAGTCATGCAGTATTTTAGTAGCGAAAACCATGCAGTAATGTTTCAGCTGTCAGCGAGGTTTTCCACTGACAGCTGAATGTAAAAGAAAGAATTGCTGGCAAGTAAAATAATATTTTAAAAACCAGTGTGGGGTCCCCCCCCTCCATCCATACAAGCCCTTTGGGTCTGGTATGGATTTTGAGGGGAACCCCCAAAATTAAAAAAAAATGGTGTGGGGTTCTCCCCAAAATCCATACCAGACCTTTATCCAAGTATGCAACCTGGCAGGTCAGGAAAGGGGGGGGATGAGCGAGCACCCCCACCTCCTACCAGGCCACATGCCCCAACCTGGGGGGTGTTTTGGGGTGGGGAGGTTCCCCCCAAAGCACCTTGTCCCCATGTTGATGGGGACAAGGTTCTCTTCCCCAGAACCCTAGGGTGTGGTTATGGGGATCTGCGGGCAGGAGGCTTATTCGAATCTAGAAGCCCCCTTTAGCAAGGGAGCCCCCAGTTCCCAGTCCCCCCCTTATGTGAATGAGTATGGGGTACATGGTACCGCTACTCATTCACAAAAAAACCTGCAGTGTGAAAACAAACAGGAGACAGTCTTTGACAAGTCGTTTATTAAAAGAAGAAAAATAAAAGAATGTCCCCCAAAGTAGATCCAATGTCAATTGCGATGCTCGCCACCACCGCCGAAACCAAAAGTGTATGTAAGGGGTGGGGCCACCCGGTTACATCATGTGTGGGTCCCCTTTCTAAAGGGGCTTCCAGATTCTGATATGCCCCCTGCCTTCAGAACCCCACAACCACAGCCCAGGGTTGTGGGGAAGAGGCTCTTGTCTCCATAAACATGGGGACAAGGTGCTTTGGAGGTGCCCTGTCCCAAAGCACCCCACATGTGGCCTGGTATGGTTCAGGAGGGGGGCCTCTCACTTGTCTCCCCTCTTTCCTGACCTGCCTTGGATAAGGGTCTGGTATGGATTTTGGGACCCCATGCCATTTTTTTTTTTACGTTTTGGCATTGGGTTCTTCTTACTTCCTGTTGTGTTTCAGGGAAAGAAGTGAAAGTAAATCTCTTCAGTGTGACAGTTCTAATCCTTCCCTGCTTTAAGCAGAGAAAAAGTATTCTATAATTAAAAAAGACTAAACTTTCTTCTTGGGGCTGTAATGAAAGCAAGCAAGAAAGCAAGATCCAAAAGTAAATCATTTAAAAAAGGTCTATAAATTCCATTTAATTGGCCTACATCAACTGAGGTGACAAAATAAAAATAAGTATAACCTGTTCAGATCAATATGTGTATTATAAATTTGGCTCTAAGACAGATTTTTGTTTCTAAATATTTGTCCTGAAGATCAATTTACAAATTATTGTCATTGTTGTTTCTACAAAGGCAAGATTAAAATTCCACATTGAATCTATATGCAGTTATTATACCTCTTTTTACTCTTATTATTATTATTTTTTAGGAGAAACGTTTCCCACCTCAAAGTGTATTAGTCTATTCATTTATCTGTACAGAATGTTAATTCTCTTTTAGCAGTCTCTTGGTATCAAACATGTAAAATAAGACTTTCCTATTGTCTTTATAATTGTTTCTTTTTAAGGCCTCATCCACATCATACGTGCAGAAAAACTGATGGAAAAAACACACAGGTTTCACTTGCAGAGACACACATTTTCATGCATGTTTCAGTAAGTTTTATACAGGTTGCAGATTCCAGTGCAGAAAAAAAATCTGTATGTGATATTACTGTTGTGTTTTGAACAAGACGCATAGAGAGCAATTGTTCTTTCGGAGCCCTTGCAGAACAAGGGCAGTAAAACTCACATTTTTGCACATGATATGAACAAGGCCTTAAACTTTGGTTGTTTGAATTTCCACTTATAGGTTTGCTTATGCTGCTGTATTACAAAATCATTTTTTTAACATGATGCTTAGATCTTTTCCAAACCTGTCTTCAACCCTTTAGCAACAGAGTGTGTTTTTAGATTTATTTTTAGGAACCTGGTAAAATCCTTCACCAAAGCAATTGGATTCCCTTGGACGCTTGTAAGGTGATCCATGAAGCATGTATATATAGTGAGGCCTGAAAAAAGTTTTAAAAACGTATATCTTCAAATATTATCTTAGAAGATCAAAGAAAGATTCTGACACTTCTCTCAGTATCCCAATATACGCGACACAGTTTTATTCTAAACTCATAATCTATGCACAAATGTAGTCATATAGAAATGTCATATTCGTTTATTCTGTGTTTGTATTGCATTTTTAAGTTTTTTTTTTCTGTAGAAATAGTAAATCTCACATTTTTGATTCACCTAAATATCTGCATGTAGATTTCTCCTATGTGCAGAGAATCAAGCAAATTTGATCCAAAAAATGTGTTAGAAATGGTATCATTTTCCATGGGTTTGACAAGTATGCATGAATATAAAGTATTTAGATGAAATCAAAGCTATTGCCATTCATCATTTTGCCGTAAGTGATGCCCTATGTGCTAAACTTGTTCCTGGAAAAGAACTGGTCAGCATGGCAATGCCAGTGCCCCTTGTGCTTAGAATGTCCCTAGAGGACTGCTTAGTGCTTCCAACATGTCTGTGGAGAGGTGCAGCATGGTACTGCAGCAGTGGACACACAGAGGCCAGTTGCAGTAAAACCTGAAAGTTGTATTGAGGCGAATGCCAACATTACAAGGGAGAGAACTGCTTAGAGAAACAACTCACAGTTCAATGCTGTAAGAGATATGGCTGAGGAGAGGTGCCAACAGCGTGTTGTTTAGAGCTTGAAGTGCAACCAGTTCAGTCCAGTCCCAAACAGGGAGGCTCCTTCCCTGGTTGTGAGTCCCTAGCTGTCTGGAATCCTTTATTTACCTCTAATTACTTTCTCTAGCAAGCGGAATCAATCTCCCTACACAAGCCACTCACAAAATGCACGCCAAAACCCAGGGGCATGGACTTATATAGACCTTGCTGACCCAAGATGGCCACCAAAGGTCACATGGCCACAGGGTAGCCAACCGGAATGCTGCCTCATTGACCCAGGAAACCATAGAGAAACAGTTTTTCCCCTTGACTTCCTCTCCAGGCTGTGGTACCATTTGGGTTGAGTGCCACTTACAGTGGAGAGAGCAGACTGCGCCTGCCTACATGTGTCTGGAAAAATTACTGGCCTGCTAATCATTTTGTTGGCACAGAATTCCATGTAAGTAGTATGTCCCTGCCAGATCTCTTGTGCTCAACATATCCCCACATAAGGTCAGACATATGGTCTGCATGTTTGTAGCAGGTTGTCCTTATTCCTCAGCAAGCTTCTCATAGAATATGTTTTGTGGTTAATACATACCTGGAAAATAATTACATGTGCTCAGTATATCTCTGGTTGAATGTTCAGTGTGCTCAGCATGTCCCCTACACAGTGTCCACCATAATGTCCATGGAATAACATCCTATGTGGTCAATATGTTCCTGGCAGAGAATCTCATTAGGAAACAATTACCTATCAGAATGTTCAGTGTGCTCTGCATAACCATACTAGTCTGTTCCTTGTGTGCAGTCTCTGGTAGAATGTGTCCTGCGCTCAATACACTCAATATGTCCCTGGCTGGGTGCCCAATGTCCTCATTAAGTCTTTGGCAGAATGCTTCACGTGCTGAACAAATCTCTGACAGAGTGCTCCATGTTGTTAACGTGTCTGTGATTGTGTTTTTGTTGTGCTCAGCAACACCTTGACAGACTGTCACTTGTACTCAGCACAACCTTAGACTTGTACCTGACCCTCTATCTATTGCACAAAAGCACTTGTGCCTGAAATTATTACTCCTCTCATCCTAAACTCTGCAAAGGTGCATGCTAGACAAGCATTAGGAATGAGGGGACGCTATAAAACTGTGGTGTCAAATGTATTTGAAAGTTAAAAGCCAAGATTATACTGTACTTCTACATACATAGTGTGAAAAATATGTGTGCAGTGGGATGTATTCATGTAATGAGGGATATGTATACTGGCATAAGAACGACACAGACATATTGAACAACCACAGTGGTCGGAACCTTTTGTTTTGTGATCAACTCTCAGTGACAGGAGGTGTCCATCTTGGCTAATACCTTTCTGATGAATCACACATGTGCAATTGGTCTTGTATAAATATGCCTTTACTGATTAATATAATTATAATTATTTATAATCAATGGGGACATTTTTTGGTTAAATCCCCATACACACATCAGCAGATGTTACAGAAGTCTACAACAGTGCTATAAAATATTATTGCTCTTTCCTTTTTCTTCCAATAAAGCAGTTATCATTGATTCGTAAACAAGGTGCCAAAAAGAAAGCGCATCAAAGTTTACAGTGTCTCAGTTCAGGTCGTTTTTCTGAAACTTCTGCATTTCAAAAGATACCAAGAAACAATTATCCTTGAGTATGAAGCGAACATTTAAAAGCTTCTTTCATCTTCTTTTCAGAGCAGATCAAAAGGTACACGAGAGTTAAATCTTTTCAAATAAAACAGCAGTGTCTGATTACTTTCTGTTTCTAAATTATTACAGAGGTCTGTTTTTTAAGGGTGTAGGCAGAATGGGGGCAATAAGCTGAAAGGAGATATGATAAAAG